GCCCTGAAAGAGACTTCCCCGGATTCAGTCGGTTATGCAGGCGATGACTCTCTCCCTGACGACCATCAATGGTGGTCAGGCCTTGAGGCCCATGCCATCTTCGAGGTTGGTCTGAGTTCTCAGCTCAAAGTCCCTCCTAACCCTCTGACTGGTCCGATCGATTTAGTCCAGCCTAACTGGGTTGCTCATCGGGGGAAAAACCGAGGAGAGGGAGGCCGAGCATCCAAGTACATAATCTCTTCTCGACGGGGATGGAGGAGAGCAAGAGAAGGCCGACACCGAGAAGACTGTGACTGTCATCGAGTACGGGGATAATGATGCTGACAAGTCGGATGTCGAATCCTGAATGCTTCTGTCTATCTTGGGATTGTGCCCGTTATCTTTTGTTTTCTTCTTTTTTTTTTATTAATTTTCGCTCTCGACCTATTTGCAGGTTGTAAAGGTGGAGGTGACTTTGCTTATACTGAACTCGTTTATGAATATTAATCTATCTTTTCCTTTTCGTCTCTTGTTCATCGTATTTTGTCGCTTTTCTTAGTTCTTGAATGGCCATAGATGCTTGTAACAATTAAGGTTGACTTTCCTTGTTGTCTTACCTTCTCCCAACCCCTCTTGCGAGCTGGTCGAAGTCGAGCAACGATTTCAACAACTTCATAGCTGTTTGAACAAGTTATTTCGACCTGTGCGAATCCAAGCCCACGTCGATAGGCATGAGTGCATCCATTCCGTAAACCATATGAAATGGCGACTGTCCTGTCGAACTTCATGGGGTCGTCCTATAAGCCCACAAAACTGTTGTCAACTCATCGACCCAAGTGTCTGATGCTTTCTCCAATCTCATCTTCAATCCTTGGAGAATGGTTCAATTAGTCACCTCGACTTGGCCATTAGCCTGGAGGTGCGCGACCGAGACAAATCTTTGTTTTATTCCCATGTCGAAGCACCATGCCTGAATTTACTTCCCCTGGAACTAAGTTCCATTATCAGAAATTAGCACTTTTGGAACTCCGAATTGACAACAAATGTTGTTAAACAAGAATTGAATCATTTTTTCCTCTGAGATTTTTGCAAACGGTTCTGCTTCGACCCACTTGCTAAAATAGTCGACAGCGACCACCAAGAACTTCCTCTGTCATGTTCCCATCGGCAATGGGCCCACCAAGTTGATTCCCCATTGCGCGAAGGGGATAGGAGTGTTGATGGTCGTCATCTATTCGGCGGGGATATGAGTGATTTTCCCATGACGTTGGCATTTCTCGCACTTCTGGACCAGCTGTTCTGTCATTGCTCGCATCTTTGGCCAGTAGTATCCTACTCGCAGAGCATTCCTGGCTAAGGCTCGAGCTCCAACATGCGCTCCACAACATGCTTCATGAATTTCTCACCGAACATGATTTCCTTCGTCTTCTGAAACACATCTCAAATGGGGCCCGACATGCTATTTTTGTATAGCACCCCTTTGATTTTAAAATACTTACTCAAATATCGAGCTGCTTTTTCCACCCCTTGCTTATCTTCCCTTGGTACTCGACCTTGTAATAGTTCGTGAATTGATTTTCTCCAATCATCCTTCTCATCAACTTCCATCATCTCTCTAAATACACTCCCTTCTAAATGCATAGTGGTGATGCGATTTCCCATCTTCCCCTCGTTTGAACTTGCAATTCTTGCGAGCCAATCAACTCGCTTATTTTCCACTCGAGGGACTTATGTTAACTCAAACTTCTCCAATCCTTGCACCAGGCTCTGGATTTCCTCAACCTACTTCAACATTTGATATTCCTTAACTTCGCAGTTCCCCAGTACTTGTCCGACAATAAGATGTGAGTCAGAATACGCCATGATCTCTGTTGCTCCGCCATCGATTGCGAGCTGAATCCCTTTAATTAGGGCTTCATACTCCGCTTCATTGTTCGAGGCCTTAGACCCCATTTTGATGGCGAAATCGAGTTGCTCGCCTTCGGGAGATACTAGGACAACTCCCAAACTCGATCCTTTGGCCACCGAGGATCCATCGACATGCATGATCCATTTCTTATCCTCTTCTTTAGTCCATTCTTGGATAAAATCCACTAGAGATTGCGCTTTTATGGCTCGCCTCGGTTCGTATTTGATGGAGTACTCACTCAGCTCGACCGCTCACTTCACGAGTCGACCCGGAACAGTAGGTCGACCCAAAGTTTCCCCGAGTTGGAAATTTGTCCTCACCACTATCACATGATTCATGAAGTATGGCCTCAATTTTCGGGCTGTTATTATCAGTGTCAAGGCGGCCTTCTCGACTTCTGAATATCTCGTCTCTGCGCCCTGAAGTACTCGATTCGTGTAATAGATCGACTGCTGGGCACCTCCAGCTTTTCGCAGCAATACCGAACTTAAAAAAAAATTATTCCCACCGAGATGTAAAGTACTAACTCGTCACTGGGTTCTGGCTTTGTTAATAGTGGCAGCTCGCTCAAAAATTCCTTCAGTTTCTCGAACGCCATTTGAGCCTCGTCATTCCATTGAAAAGCTTTTTTCTTAAGCAACTTGAAGAATGGGAAACTTCTCTCTACGGCTCGAGCGATGAATTTGCTTAGACCGACAATTTGACCTGTCAGGACTTGAACTTCCCTGATATTGTTTAGTGGGGCCATGTCGAGTATGGCCCTTACCTTGTCCTTGTTTACTTCGATGCCTCTTTTGGTCACGACGTAGCCCAAGAATCGTCCTGCCCTCACTCCGAAGGCACACTTGCTCGGGTTTAATTTCATCCCAAATGTCCTTAGTGTTTCGAATGTCTCTCTTAAATCCTCGACATGCGAGGTCGAGGACCTACTTTTCACCAGGATGTCGTCCACGTACACCTCCATATTGTGCCCGATCTGCAACTTGAACATTCGATCCATCAATCTTTGATACGTTGCCCCTGTATTCTTGAGCCCAAAGGGCATGACGACGTAACAATACGTCCCTTTGCTTGTCACGAAGCTAACTTTTCTCTGATCCTCGGGGGCCAGGGGAATT